TATTTCAGACACTTAGTAATTTTTTTTTAAGATTTCAAAAAATTCAACAGTTTATAAGAATAGTTTTTTTTTGTTTAATCATTAGAATACATTGTGATTGATAGTAGTTTCAATATTTGACTTTAATGAAGATAAAGATCCAGGGAAGAAAAAGATCTTAGAAAGAATCCGTCTTCGTGGAACAGTAGCTGTAAATCTAAGACCGGATACAAAGATAGAGGTACAATCAATGTAACCATTATTTTAGCTTCATCTTACAAAACAATATTTTTAATTATTTAGAATGCGATAAATTAATAAAATATGAAAATGTAGGATCTTGCTGATATGATGGCAAAAGGTTCAAAATGTAGATGGGGAAACTTCTTAGGTATTCTTATATTTCCTTTATGGATACAACATGAAGATGATCCATTGGAATACGTACAAAGAGCCAAAGCGACTATGGATAATAAAAAAATGTCCATGGAATCACTTATATTCTATGGAATCATCAAATTTACAATGAAAATATATGGAGAAAAGGTAAATTATTAAATGAACTTTTCAACTCATAATTTGTATGTATACTTATGTTTATAAACAAATTTTATGATTATTAATGATAGGCCGTAGAATCTATTGCTAAGAGGATATTTGGTCACACAACATTGACGTTTTCAAATGTTTTGGGTCCTAACGAAGAAATTAGTTTTTTTGACCATCCTATGTCTTACGTTGGAGCAAGTGCTTTGGTTGGACCACAAGTAAGTATATTAATCATAACATAATATTACTTGTATATCAATATTTTTTTTGAAATCATTTATAAAATGTAATTAACAAATGTTTATGTTTGTTGTTGGATTAGGCTCTTATTATCCATTTTGTAAGCTACGTAAACAAGATTATCATCAACCTAGCAGTTGATACAACAGTGATTCCAGATCCTCATGCACTATGTGATGATTTAGTCGAATCGCTTGATCTCATAAAACTTGCTATCTTGAAGAAAGGACTTCCACAAATGGAGGTGTGAGACATTTATCACCAGAAATCTTATTGAAAAAAGAAGTTTTATGTTAGAAAGATCAAATGTTGTGAAATGTAGTAATGTGTTACGTTAGCTTGGTTTGATCTCAATTAAAAAGTTGCAATCTAAAGTTGTATTTCGCCGAAGATATGTTATAGACAGTAGCATTTACACAATATGAAATCTTATAATAAAAGAAGTTTTATGTTAGAAATATGAAGTGTTGTGAAATGTAGTAATGTATTATGTCTAGCTTGTTTGATCTAAAAACAAAAAAAAAAGGTTCCAATGTAAAATTGTATAAAATTTTATAGACAGTAGCATTTACAGAGGACTGCAAGACGAAAAAAACGTAGACCAAAGACACCATTTAACATATCAACAAACGTAATTCGAAATTTCCTTTTTTTCTAGGATTTACCGGAACTGTTCACGGGCTTGTGTATTGTTTGTTGTTCAAGAGCTTCATCATAAAGTTAAATCTTGTGTCTGGAGATGTCTTTGGTTGTGGCCAAGTCGCTCCTTCGGGGATCTTGATGGATCTGAAACCTTGATCTTTGTAAAGTTTGGTGGCTCCTAAGTTGTTGAGATCACAGTGAAGACCGATAGCTCGACAACCCCAGTGCTTGGCTAAAGCCTCTGCTTTCCATATGAGTCTCTTTGCTATTCCCTTGCGCCGGAAACTCTCTCGAACCGCCACATTTGATATGTAAGCAATCCCAGTTCTGGATTTGAAATCGTAACACACCATCAAACCATTTGTAAAACAATAAAAGGAATACGCATCCGATCACAACACATTCTGAAAAGAAAAAACGACAAGGATCCTTCTTTTTAACACCACCAGGTTAGCTAAAGATCTCGAAACTTTATTAAGTTTTCTTAGTTGCACACAATTTTGGGAATTGGTCCATAGTCTTAAGAACAGAGTCACAGGACTTGACCATAGAAACAAAAGATAAGAAGAATGCGAACCTTCTTTGGCGGAGAGGTCCTTTCCTTGGAAGGAAATCCGCCACGGTATCAACAGTCAAGATTCCAGCTACATAACCTTTGTTCAGGCTAATCTTAGCATCAAAAGCTCCGATTTTGAAATCTCCACTTCCAATGCAGATGGTTTCGTCAACCGAGCTACCTATAACAGCTACTAAACAAATCCTCCTGCATCCTGGTGGAATAGAAAACCCCATTACCATCGCCATTAACCTATCTACTCTCATCACAACATCAAGCGGGAACGAATATCCCGGGAAAAAGGCGCTGCAGTGAGTCTCTGCTACTTCCCAACAGTCCTCCAACCTCGCTTCCCGAACAACGATCTCAGGTGAAACCACTGGATAAAGATCAACTATTTGACTTGCATTGCATACTCCTCCTATATACAAAACATAGTAAATCTTCATCAAAAGATTCAACTTTATCATCCACTGATGAATCAAAAGCAATTCCAATCTAATAATCCTCAATTACAATAAAACAGTTGTTCATTTGCTCAAATCAATCACGAATTACACCCAAAAAAGACCTCTAATTGAACGATCAAATTCGTAAGTTAGGAAATTGGAACTCTCGATCTCGAAGTCAATACTCTCTGCATCTGTGTCTAATAGCTCATCAATGGTACTAGAGAGGTCAAACCTGATTTGGAAGAAGGAGACTGAGAAATAGAAACCCTAGACGGCGAGAGAAGGAAGAGAGACGAGTGGAGTCTCCGACGATGGATAGAGAAGTGAGAGAAGGAGAAGTGACCATTAGAGGAGTGGTTGATTATAGCTGGTGATATCGCCGTCGTCCCCAACGGTGTGCTCCGCATCTTCTCTCTCTCTCCCGTTCGCCGCCACAAGACCGGATATCGCCGTCGATTCTAACAATTAGACCGGACGATTAAACCCGGTCAATCATAAATTCAACCCGGAGAAAGTAACATTTTCTCTCTTCCACCTGGGCTTGACAAATTACCCAAAAAAATCTAACCGAACTGAATCGGATAGGTAAACATTATGATTTCGACAAATGCAATCATAGTATTCATTAATAACAATAAAACACATTTCTAAAAAATACGAAACTTTAAAAAATTTTAATAACGATTTTTCAAAAATATACGACCATATCATGTATCAGTAATCATTAAATGAATTTTTTGAAAAGACCGAAGCCCTAATTGCTTTAATAACAATAAAACGGTGTTCTTCAAAAACAAATACAATCCGATAATGCTTTAATAACCATAAAATTAATTTTTAAAAAGACACAATATTTGCATGTTTTAATAACCATAAAACGGTTTTTTATATAAAAAACATAACCCTATGATGCATTTATTAAAGCATCTTAGAATTTAAAATTAGCCATAAAATCTACATTGAAGTAGGATCTTTACACAAATCAAGAATTTTTGGAACTTCTACAATAGTAAAAACATCTATATTTAAAAAAATTTCATAATAATAGAATGAAGTTGTTTATCTTTCTTATACTTTAAGTAAATTAAACAATTAGTAGCCACTATTAACAAAAAGTTCAATGGAAAAATGAGTAAAAAACACAAATATATAGGCAAAACTTTTTTTCCGAAAAGACGCGACTCTTGAAAAATAACCATAAAGCGTTTTCTATATCGGAAAGACAAAACTCTTGAGAAAACAATTATATCAAAAAGATGATTAAACGATTATATCGAAAAGATGCAACCCTTGACAAAACGGTTTTATCAAAAAGACGCAACTCTTGATTAAACGGTTCTATCGGAAAGACGCAATCCTTGACAAAACGGTTATATCGAAAAGACGCAACTTTTAAAAATAACTATTAAAAATAACTACTAAACGGTTTTTTACGAAAAGTCACAAATATTTTTGGGTTTGCTATTATATATAGATTTGAAGTTTTGAATCATATATAGAATAACCCGAAAACAAGTCTTAAGCTTTTGTAAAATCTCAATAACTTCCACGACTAATAAATCATTTAAACACAAAAAGAGTATCACCATTTTCATCACCATGCCAGCGAAGACAACAATTCTCTCGCATAATCCTTTGTTATGTATGAATATATACTCGTCTCTTGGCAAAGTGTTGTTAAATTTAAAATATAATAGTAAAAATATCTATATTTAAAAATAATAGAATGACATCTTTTTATATTTTTATGCTTTAAGTGAATTAAACAATTAGTAGCCATGATTAACAAAAAAGTTCAACGGAAAAAAATACAAATATATAGGCAAAATGTTTTTTTCCGAAAAGACGCGATCTTTGGAAAATAACCATAATGGAGTTTTTATATAAGAAAAACACAACTCTTGAGAAAACGGTTATATCGAAAACGTGCAACTCTTGACAAAACGATTATATCGAAAAGACGCAATTTTTGAAACTAACCGTTAAAGATAACTACTAAACGTTTTTTTACGAAAAGTCACAACCCAAAAATATTTATTTTTTTGGATTTGCTATTATATATAAATTTGTAAAAATTAAACATTTTTTATCGTGACCAAAAAAGAAAAATATTTTTTACAAAACTGAATCAAATTGAACCAAACATTTTTCAAGTATGTCAAGTATATAAAATCTGCATTGAAATAGTTCCGTTAT